CTCCCTGCAGCCTGCCGTGAGTAGGAGGGGAGCAGCTGGGTGCTGGGGGGCCAGCAGGTTGGGGCTGTGCTGGAGAAGATGCCTCATGGCTGGGGGGACCCTGAGACAAATGCTGGGTCTGTGCTCCACATCACTGTCCTCATGGGCCGACCCTGCTAATCAGCTGTGAAAGAGAGAGAGAAAGCTGGAGAGAAATCCTTCTCTCTGCTAACCTCATCACAATAAAGATTCCTATAAAGAGCTCTTATCCTTGAAGAAAATGAGGCACATAAGCAGGAATAGTAAACAAAAGGCTGTCATTTTGACCCAGGAGTGCTTCATGTTGTTGGCAACTTCCAAGAGGAAACATAAAGAGAGGCTGCATCCAAGTCCCAATTATGCAGAACTATGTGACTGATATGTCAATGAGTCCCCCCGGGAGGAGACCACCAGCACTTCCCGGCGCTGCCTGCGCAGCATCTGCACCCGCCGCCACGGCCGGGCCGCGCGCGCCCCGAGCGCAGGCGTGTGTGGCATCGGAAGAATGCGGGGGACAAGGTAATGTCATGGGGAACGCTATTGCCCGAGTCCTCGCCGCACGCGCATTATCAGCGCGGGCCCCGGAGTCAGGGACTGCGGGCAGGCAGCGGCGTTTGGCAAACAGTAGTGCTGGCCACACCTGCTGCAGGCACGCTCCGGGAACGTGGCGCAGGCAGGAGGGCTGCCCCGCGCCGATAAGCTGAGTGGATGGAGATAAAATCCGAGCAGGAGATACGCTTTGCTGAGCATCAAGGCTAAGCACCAGCAAGGAGCCAAAGCACGCTGCGGCCCGCCGCGGGTGGTGTGGGTCCGCGGGCTCCGGCTGCGCCGCGGCCGTGAGGGAAGGAGACGGGACCAGGAGACTCCAAACCAACTGTGGGAGCTTTGGTGACAGATGTGCCAGTGCTTGGGCCCATTGAGGGTGCAGAGCTGTGCTGCTCCCATGGCCAGGACAGCATTGCTCAGGGCAGCAGCTTTGGGGCCTGTCCCCATCCCTGAACATCCCCTCACCAGCACGTCCCCTGCTGCTGGAAGCCAGACCCACCTCATCCTTCCCTCATCCTTCCCTCCAGGTGCTGTGGCTTCCAAAACGTCGCCTGTCTGTGCCTCCTCGCTGTCCCCAGGAGCCCCTAGGGCTGCTGGGAGCCGGCTCTACCTGGTGCCTGTGCAGCCACTCCAGCGCGGCTTTCCCAAATCCACCCTCAGAAATCCACCCTGACGCCACGGCCAGGCCGCGCCGGGCCCATGCGCCGGCCCTGACCATGGCCGCACGCCCGCTGCAGGAGCCAGGCCGCAGCCTTGGCCAGGGCCCGCGCAGAGGAAAGTGCCCAAGGCCGGCAGGGACGTATTTACCCCCGAAAGCACCTTGCTGCAAAAATAGCAAGTGGCCGGTGTGAGGCCGGGGCTTCCCAGGGGAACAATGCCTGGCAGGAGGAAGCGGCCGCGGCCGGCCCGCAGCCCTGTCCCGCCTCGTGCGGCGCTGAGCCGCGAGCGCTGTGTGCCGGCCCGGCAGGGACCTTGAACCTGACACAGATTTATTTTCTCTGACATTGGCATCGCATCGGAACATCTGGCATGTGGCTGATAATTGCTGGGGATCAGGGCGGAAGCCACTCCAGGCCTGGCGTTTCTTCCAGAGCTCTGTTTTCATTAGTTTTTCTCCTCTCTTCAGCTGCAAAGCAAGGAAAAAACAAGCAGGGCTGTGCAGCCCGCACTCCCACTCCTCTCCCCTCAGCACCCGGGGCTCGCTGCTTCCCTCACTCTGCATGGGAATGCTGCAGGGCGCCTCACTGTCACACCGTGTCGGGGCTGTGCTGAAACAGAGAGAGGACAAAGCTTTCCCTGAGCCAGGACTGTGGGTCCTGCTGTTTCACCCTGGTTACAGAGAAGAGCCGTGGCACAGCCTCTGCTGGGCTGGTGTGGGGCTTGAGGCAGCCACCCCTTCTCAAGGCTGTCGTCACTGTGGGATGAAACGGAGAGCAGGACACTGTGCAAACATGTGGGGAGACACCATGGTGATGGATGGATGGATGGAGCATGGGGAGTGAGAGCAGATCCCCTCTCTGGCAGCATGGAAGGGTTTCTCATGCAGCCTCTTGCCGTGGCACTGCAGTTCCTGTGTTGCACAGGGTGATTGGAAGCCGAGATCTGCCGGCACAGTGCCTGTGGGCAGGACGGAGCATGGCAGTGAAACGTGGGGAATCACACATGGCAAAAACACAGCCAAGGCGTGGCTGCTAGGCCCAGGAGGGACGCTGGCTTTCAGTGAGTGCTGTTCTGGCAAATGAAGAGCTGCTGGCCACGGGCACAGTGAGCCCCAGGGACCTGGGAGTGGGGCCCTGAGTGTGGAGGAGCCTCCTCCCACCCTCCCCTGCAGAGGAGACTCTCAGGGCCGAGGAGGCCATGGCTGCGTCTTGGTGCTGGGTGGGTGAGGTGAGCTCTCGTTCCTCCCAGAGGTGTCCTGCCCCGTGCCCTCGGCCGCCTCCCTCCCGCCCTGGGCCATAAATCAGGGTGGCCGTGGGTGCTGGGGCTCTCTGGTGCCCCCCACCTCCCTGCAGGGTCTCCCTCCCGGGGCACCTTATCTGCTCCAGGGGTTCCACTTATCTTCGCTGTCACTTTCTAATGCTAGTTTATGGGCAGCGTTTTGTAGCTTAATTATGATGTTTTTCAGCATGGTCACGTGGCTCCAGAAGCCAATAAGGCACCGAAGTGGGTCCATCCTGGCTGAGCCTGGCCCCCGTGGGGAGGAGATTGGCCGGTGTCCTGCCCGGGGCGGCGTGTGCGCAGCCAGAGCCCCAACACCTTCCCAAGAGACGCAGGTCCCCATAAATCCCCCAGCGTGCCGTGGACGGGGCACGGTACCCACGCCCCACGGAGGCTCCTCGGGTCGCAGCTCCTGGCCGGTGGAGAGCGAGGCTCTCCCACCCTCCGGCCCCACGCGCAGCAGCCGTGCAGCCGCCTCGCGGTGAGTACGTGTCCGTGGGGGGATCCCGCTCCCAGCCCGGCCATCGCCCCGCCACGGCCGCCATTCCCCGCCATGGTGGCAGCCAAGGCCGGGGCTGGGGAGGCGGCAGGGCTTGGTGAGGAAGCGGGAGTCGTGTGTGGGCCTCCGCTTCCCGTCCCGGCCCTCGGCGGGCGTGGGGATGGCGGCTCTGCAGATCACGGGCAGCAGAGCGAGGCCTCACCACAGCCTTGGCCCTGCGGCCGAGCTGCGGCTCAGAAGTGACAGATCGGGCTGCTGAGGGGCTCTGGGAGCCCAGCTGGCAGTGCCTGGGGGTCCCCGGTCACCCAAGGGCTGGGAGTTGCCCATTGGAGCACAGGCAGCCTCCAGACCCTGGAGCGGGCATGGGAGGCATCTGGGACCCCTTGACCTATAGGGTTGACTGGGCCCGTGTCCCGTCCCCATCCCACACTGACAGGGATCACAGCCTTCAGCTCTGAGTTGCTTTTGTTCCTCGCAGTGTTTGCTCAGTTCTCCCAGCTCAGAGCCCCTCCCGGGCTCCTTTTCCAGGATGGCAGGTCCTGCTCCGTGGCTGCCTGGCAGCTGCCCCAGAGCTGTGGTGACTGTGGGGGCCCTGGCCGAGGGCTGTGCCGGCAGTGGGAGCGCTCCTTCCCGGCTGAGCAGCGGCTGACCCGCGTTGCAGAGTGCTCTGCTGCTATTCTTAGCCCGGGCTCCATTCCTGGTGGCTCTGGAGTGATGCTCCACTGAGCCCGTTTCCTGCATGCTGCCCTCCCTGCCAGTGCTGCTTCCTACCCACTGCACCCTCGGGCAGCTGTGTGTGGGGTGAGCTGGGTGGGATGAGATCTGTGGGATGAGCCCTTAAAGACAAACCATGCAGGATCAGCCTGGCAGGATCAGCTATGGGGCCATCAGTCATGCCCTTCCCCTGTGGGGCACTGCCAGCAGCTCAGTCCCCAGCTATGCCCCTCAGGCACCCAGAGCCTCGGCCCCAGTGCTGCTGTGCTGCCAGCAGGCTCCCACCATGCTGGGACAGGCTCTGCACCAGCCACGAAGGGTCCCTGCCTCGGTGGGAGCCCTGCAGGACGGGCTCAGCTCCAGTGCCCAGCTCAGAGCTGGAGCCTCGAGCTCCCCACAGCCAAGTCCCAGGCGAGGTGTGTGGCCCGGGGGCATCCTGATAAACAGGACATGCTGGGAGCCAGGGTGCTCCTGTGCTGGCCTGCTGCCATCACGAACATTTCATCAAGAAACCCTAATTGTGAAGCATGGATTCAGTACCTGCTGTCTGACAGGCAGACCAGGACACCATTGGGTGCTCTTGGTGGGGTGGCCAGTGCTGGGTCCAAACTCATCTCCTCAGTGGTGGCCCCAGGGGAGATTCCAGGAGCTGCTGCACACCTCAGTGTTCCTCACACAGCTCTCCCCGGGCTGGCAGGGGCAGCTGGTGGGGGGTGATTTCTTTCTTACAAAGCTGGTGGTCCAGGGCTGTGCAGCGAGCAGAGCAGACTCTTGCCCAGACATGGTGAATTTTGCTCCAGCCCTGAGACAGGTCCTGCCTCTCTCAGGCCAGACCCTCCAGAGAGGTGGGGGGACTTGTTGTTGCCCACAGACGGTGTGGGGGAGCGGGGAGGGTCTCACCCCCTTCCTGCTTCGCCTGTCCCTGGGGGAGTCCCGGGGGGATCCCCGCTGCTGCCGAGGCCTGGCCGAGCCGCTCCCCAGCCCGGCCGCGGTGTCCCCGCTGCCCGGTCCCTCCGCCCCCGCCCCGTCCGTGCCGCCGCGAGCCGCCCGCTCTCCCAGAGGAGGTTCCCCAGCCCCGGGGGGCTGGCCGTGAGCCCGCACCAACATGGAGATGCTCTTCCAGGCGCTATAAAGAGCTCCGGCTCCCGCACCTGCCGCTCGGTCTCCACCGCGCCCACTCCCGGTCCGCACCCAGCGCCGGGGCTGGGGCCGCGGTCCGTCCCCGTGCCCGTCCCATCCCGTCCCGCTGACCGCGGCTCGTCCCTCAGCAGGGCCGCTGGAGGGGATGGACTATTCCTATGATGAGGACCTGGACGAGCTGTGTCCGGTCTGCGGGGACAAGGTCTCCGGGTACCACTACGGGCTGCTCACCTGCGAGAGCTGCAAGGTAGGACCGGCCGGGGCCGTGCGGGACCGGGGCTGCGGGGCCGGGGCCGTGCGGGGCCGTGCGGGGCCGGGAAGCGGGGCCGGGAAGCGGGGCCGGGGCTGTGCGTGACCGGCGCCTGGTGGGGCCGGGGCTGCGGGGGGAGCGCTGCACGGGGACGGGGGCACCGGGGCTGTGCGGGGAGCGGGGACGGGGCTCTGCAGGGCCCGGGGCAGCGGGACCGCCCGCGGGGCTTCTCTCGCCCGTTTTCGTTAGCGGCGGATTCGCGCCCGGCGGCGGGAGGGGAGCGCGGCCGCGACGGGAGCCCCGAGCGCGGCGGGAGCCCGTGCCGAGCGCGGGTGGCGGGGACGGGGTGCCGGTGCCGGGATGCCGGTGTCGGTGACCGCCGCATCGCCGCCGCCCGCCGCCGCAGGGCTTCTTCAAGCGCACGGTGCAGAACAACAAGCACTACACCTGCACCGAGAGCCAGAGCTGCAAGATCGACAAGACCCAGCGCAAGCGCTGCCCCTACTGCCGCTTCCAGAAGTGTCTGACCGTGGGGATGCGCCTGGAAGGTAGGCATGGCACGGCATGGCACGGCACGGGGCGGCGGGGCCGGGGACTGGGTCGGGACTGTGCGGGGACTGTGCGGTTGCCGGACCGGTCGCGCTGTCCCCGCCGCTGCCACCTCCCCGGGCCGGTCAGTCCCGCCGCCGCTTCGATTCCGTTTTTCTCTCCCAAGTTAAGGGAAAAATCGTTTTTTCGCGTCGTCTCCTTCTTTTCCTTGTTTCATTTTGTTTGTTTCACCGGGGTTCCTGCTGCTACGGCTTCAACTTTCCAGGATTTTTTTTTTTTTGCTGGCAGGAAGGTTGGGAAATAGCAGATAAATTACTGTTTTCCTTAAGCACATAATTCTAGAAGCCGAGACTTAAGGAAAAACGTTAAAAATTATGGGGATCGCAATAAAACTGCCTCAGACCCTCCACAAATTATATTTTTCCTCTCGGTGACATTTAGTACAACGGATTTCTGACCCCCGGGGGGACGATCCCAGCCCCACAGCAGCCGCCTCTCTGTGATGTCGGCGCAGAGGATCCCGACATCAGAGTCGGGCCCCGACAGCCCGTGCCGCGGGCTCTGCAGCGCTCGGCATCCAGGAACGAAATGTATTTGAGGGGCCAGGTCGCTGGCACGGGATGGCAGAGCAAAGGCAGGGGCAGAGGAGCCCCCCAGCCCCGAGCCGGCCGCCCCCTCCCCACATCTCCCCTGAAATCGTTTGCGTTTTGCAGCGGTGGGAGCGGGCTGAGTCCCCCGCCCGAGCCTGGGGGGCTGAGCCGGGCTCGCTGCTCGGGACACGGCGCGGTCCATCGCAAAGTCCTTCGTGTTCTGGCTCCTGGCAGGGCGGCCGCTCGCTCCGGGAGCGGGTGGGAGCTGCGAGCAGAAGCGCAGGAGTGAGACACAGCATCGATTCAGCCCCTGCAAACTCCCGGCGTGGGCTGCCTTCCAAAGCAGATCCCAGTTCCACTCTCCTCCCTGCGCTGGGTTAACTGGTGCCCTGAATCCCTCGGTGCATGCTCTGGCCGTTTAGATCGATGTCGCCAGGGGATGTGGGCGCTGGGCAGGGGCTGGAGAGCCCACGGCAGACGGGCAGGGACAGAGGGAAAAGGCACGATCTCAATTTGTCCCTTTCCAGCAGTTTCTGTCGTGTATGCGAGGAGGTGTTTTAGTCCCAGAGCTGTCCCAACAGCCTTTTTGTGTGTTTCTTGCTGCTGGCTCCTCAGCAGAGCTGGGCAGACGAGGCAATCACCCTGCGAAAGTGATATTCCATGGAACCCTCTCTTTTGTAGTAAAAACGAGACCACCTTTTTCATCTCCGAGTATTTTTGGGCAAGGCATCTGAGGTGATGTTTTGGAGGTGAGTCTACAGATCCACACAACAAGAGCACCCCCGAGGTGATTGATTTTGGGAACACGGTGTTGACACAGGCACCCCTCAAAGTGCCTGAAGGGAGGCGGCAGCGGGAGGAGAAGCGCAGCCCTGGCCGAAGCTGCCCACAGCCCTGGGGGCACTGCCCATGGCACCTTCCATGTCCCTACCCAGGCAGAGAAAGGGGAGGCAGAGCCTGGCAGCCCCTGCCCCAGCCAGGGCTCTGCACTGCGGTGAGAGCAGGCAAGGCAGTGCAGGTGGGAAGGGGGCTGAGGGTGCTGGGGACCCCTCCTGCCACCGTCTGGGTGTGTGCCTCGGGGATCATCTGCAGATGGTTCTGGGGTTGTTGCTGGGGTGCAGGCGCTTCGTGGGTGGCTCCACTTGAGCCCCCTTGCCCTGGAGGTCGGGATGCAGCATCTTCCTCTCGGCTGTCAGCCGGGACACAGCAAATGGCAAGTTGTTCCCAATCCCAAGTGTGGCACAAATGGCAGGAAAAGCAGAGCAGGAGGGAATTAGAAGGCCTTTTCTCCCTTTGTGTTCTTGCTGGGAGAGGGGAGGAGGCGTATGCTGTTGCCTCTGGAGGGCTTGTGAGACCAGGCTGTGAGCACCTCTTGCTGTGTGTGGGAGTGCAGGCAGCCCTAGGAGGGTCTCTGCTGTGCCCCCTTGCCCAGGGTCGAGGGGTTTGCTGTGGGATGCCATCCCTGGATGTCACTGTGCCCGACTCGAGCAGTGGTGGGATAACTTCGAGTGGGTGTGAGATTTGGGTTTTGGTGTGCTCTGAGGTTTGCGGCCAGGGCTACCAGACCTGCCTGTGGGCTGCCAGGCTGTGTGGGACCCCAGCAGGGGTGAGCACAGGTCTGAGCGTGGCCTGGGAGCCGGGAGCTGCCCGGACAGCTCTGCGCTGCCCAGAGGGGCGTGGGCCGGCTCTGGGGAGCGGGGACGCTGCACCCCTCTCTTCAGAGGCTGCCGCTGGCAGCCCGCTCCAGCGAGATGCTGTTTTCATGAATAAAGAATGAGGGAGGAAGCCAGGGCGGCTCTCCTGGGAGCGCATTCCTGCTCGTCCTGGAAATGCTGCTGCTCCCGGCCACCCTCCGCCTTTCCAGCCTGCCTCGGGAGCGTTGGGGAGGTGCTCCAGCTCTCCGGGGGGGCTGGCTGTGAGCCCCAGGATAAGTAGGCGAAAGAAAGGCAGAGGTAGCAGCTGAGAGGCAAAGCGGGACCCGCTGGCTGTCAGCAGGAACACGAGATAGCGGAGGGGCTCTGCCTTTGATGCTCCTGAGGGCTGCTCTCGCCGCCGCACTCCTCCGCTGCTCCAGCCCCCGCTCCTGCCTGCCGCGATCTGGGGCTCTTCCCAGGGATGGCCGGGCAGAGCCCCGGAGCGCGGCAGGGCAGGGCAGCGGGACAGGCTCCTTCTGCAGGGGAGCACCTGCTCCCCTGCACGTTGGCAGGTCCTTGGGGTTTTTGCTTTGGTGGAACATCTGCTTTGCCGCAGCGTCAGAGGGACTCTGCCAGCGGGATGCTCCAGCAGAGCCTTCGCCACAGCTGGGATCCCGGGGCGGGTGGGGTGAAGTGCATCCCAGCCGTGCTGCCCGAAAAAGAGGCAGGGATCTGCTGAGAAGCAGCACGTGCAGCCTGAACGGAGGGAACCAGGGTCCTGAGCGGGCTGTGGGGTCCCAGGCTCTGCAGGGACAAAGAAATCCCAGGGCTGGAATGGTGACACGGGTTGTTAAAACTAAAGTGAGTGCCAAATCCCCTTCTCTGCCCAGGCTTTAAGGGCTGTCCCCTCAACCCACGGGGAATGAAAGCTGCTTTTTCCCCCGGCTCGTTTTGTAGTGAAAGCCAAATGTCTCTTCGTTTACTGCAATCCCCACAGGCTCTGAGGGTGACGTTGGCGGGGCTGGGAGTGACACAATCTTTCTGGGAAGGTTTCCCCAGTGCTCCCCAAACTCTTTTTGCCACTGAGTCGTGTCCCCCAGCATTTTCTCTGTGCCCTGTGGAAGCCCTGATCTCTCTCCATGTGGGTTCACTGCGGTGTCTGCCCTCTCTCTGTCTCCAGCTGTGCGTGCAGACCGGATGCGTGGAGGGAGGAACAAGTTTGGACCCATGTACAAGCGGGACCGTGCCTTAAAGCAGCAGAAGAAAGCTCTGATCCGAGCCAACGGCTTCAAGCTGGAGAGCGTGCCTCAGATCATGTCCCCGGTGCAGAGTGACTACAGCCTGTCCTCCAGCATCCACAGCATCCACGCCATGTCCAAGCCCCTGCCGCCCAACCCGGCCGCCCTGACGCCCGTGGACTACGAGCGCAGCCCCTACGGGACGCCCTCCCTGGGCATGGCCGTGCCCGGGCACGCGCCCCTGCCCGCCTACCACTACCCCTCCTTCCCCAACCGCACCATCAAGTCCGAGTACCCCGACCACTACACAGCCGCCCACGAGGCCGTGCCTGCCTACATGTACCCAGAGACCTACCCCAGCAGCTCGCCCCCCGACATCCCCGAGCTCATCCTGAAGCTGCTGCAGCTGGAGCCCGACGAGGCCCAGGTGAAGGCACGGATACTGTCCTGCCTGCAGCAGGAGCAGGGCAAGGGCCGGCACGAGAAGCTCAGCACCTTCGGCCTCATGTGCAAGATGGCCGACCAGACCCTCTTCTCCATCGTGGAGTGGGCACGGAGCTGCATCTTCTTCAAGGAGCTGGAGGTAGGAGCTGTCAGTGGGGGCACGATGGGGCAGGGTCGAGGCTGCCCATCCCCGAGGATGGGATCTGGCTGTGGGCAGGATTGAGGTGAAATGTTGTGAGGACGGGGAAACATCCGTGGGCACAGGCCTGGGGCCATCACTGCAGATCTGCTGGCATGTGCCAGTCCCGCTCCCAGCTCCTGCAGGGCTGGAGGTGCCAGGGCCAGGCTGTGGTGCCGGAGCGATTCCCACTCTGTGTGGGGCTGATGTTTTCAGATTCATCACAGCAGGGGCAGCTGTTGAGGCAATTGCCGGCAGAGTGACTGTGGTGTCAAGCTCAAGACATAATTGAAAAATGTAACGTTGAGGAATTATAGTTGAGCCAATTCTCTCCCCTGCCTTTAGGAGGAAAATCGATGTGGTCAGGTGGGCGCTATTAGCACCAGGCAGCAGGGGCAGCCCGAGCCTGCTCCAGAGCTGTGTCTGCTGCCAGCAGCCCACGAGTGTGCCCGGCTGGGGGGATGGAGCTGAGCTCCATCCTGCCAAGGCATCCCCTCTAGCAAATGTCCCTGAACATTTACTGCAGCCAGGGAAGGGTTAGCAGGGCTGGAGCAGCTTCTGCCATCCTGCACACCTTGACAAGCTTACAGAAATTTTCCATTCATGTTCTGGGCTGACTTAAGATCCCAAACTAGTGCAAAAATAGGAGAGAAAATTTTGCAACATGGCCAAAACCCAGAGCAACATCCTGGGGCAGCTGTGATGAGACTCAGGTGCTTTCTTGTGTTTCCAGCATGAAATTGTACTACCCGGCTCTGGCCGAAATCACCTTCTTCCAGTGGGACTGTGCTGTAGGACAGGACCAGGCTCTTCCCTGTGCCCAACAATGGGTGCCATGGGGCTGAGTGTGGCCGAGCCTCGTGGCTCAAAATAGCCCCCATCGTTCAGAACAGTGTCAGGAAATGGCATTGTGGGGGTGGGTTGGGCTTGTTTCAATCATATCAGTGTCCAGCCTGGATTTTGGGAACAGGGTGGTTGTTGTTTTGCAGGAGATATTGTAAACAGTGTAAATTCAGTTCCCAGCTGTATAGCTGTGTAGCCTTGTAGCTCCATTGTCAGCGTGATTGTGCCACCAAAATAGGCTGTTCCTGTGTGAATCGGTGTTGGCGGGTGCTCCTCCTGCCGTGGGACTCTGGGGGGATGGCAGTGCCTCAGGCCTCACCTGGGCACAGCTACCAGTGTCCTGCTGGGAGCAGGGCATGTGCCCTGCCGCGCCCAGAACAGGGGGTTTGGTGCTCAGCGGGTGTCCATATCCATCACTGCCATCCTGGGGGCTCAAGTTTTGCCTTATTCACACGGTGATTGTGGGGTGCATTCCCAGCATCTCCCAGGGCTGGGGACTGCAGGGCCCACAGCCCACCCTGGCTCCAGTGGCAGAGGGGGAATGAGGCTTGGCTGTCCTTGGTCCCTCCTGTGCACAGAGCCCTGGGCATTGCCGAGCCCAGCACAGAGCAGCCCTGGTATCCTCAGTGCCCCCACCTGGGGCTGCCCCTGCCCACCCCACACGGCTCATCCTCCCTGGCCAGGGCAGAGGCTTTTCCTCAGGCACAGGAGAGCAGCCAGTGGGAAGCAGGAGCAGCTCTGAGAACCTGAATCCCCATTTCTGCTCCTGCCTGGCCCATAAAGACAGCGGTGCTGGGGCGGTAAACGAACTCCTGCTAGCGCAGGGTTTATGGCTCTGCCCTAAAGCAGCACGGAGCAACATCACAATCTCCGGGATCGATGGCATGGCAGTCCCTGCTGGGGGCTCTCAGGGCAGGGCTGCAGCAGCCCTCTCCATGCCCTGGGAAGCTCTGTGTGAAGGTGACAGTCCCCAGCCCCAGCAGGGAAGGGCTGCTGGCCGAGGCCAGAGCAGGGATCCAGGCTGGAAAGGCACCGTGCTGGGACACCTCTCCAGGGCATCGTGCCAGGCTAGCACTACATGGGAGGAGGTGCAGCAGGTGGGAAGGGGGGGCGTGGGCAGATTTCCCCATCATGGATTGCCCTGCCTGAGCTGGCCCAGCACTGCCGTGCTCCTTCCACAGGGCTGTTAGCAGAGACCTGGCTTCTTCTTGGGGCTTCACAGGGAGCCTGGAGAGGATGGAGCAAATCTTCAGGGGCATGGGGAGCTGCTGGCTCACACCTGGTTAGGACGAGCCTTTGGTGCCTGCCCAGGGAGAGTGGGAGCAGTTTCCTCTGGAGCTGGCCAGTCTAGTTCTCATTCCCATTCCCACCCTAGCAATGTGCCGAGGGCAGAATGGGTGCTTTGCTCTGCTGTCTCCACACTCCTGGCGTGGTGGCTGGACTGGGAGACATCAGGAGAGCCCCCCTGGCTCCATGGCTGCACCCAGGGAAGGAGGGGGGCCACGGGCTAATGGCCTCTTGACATCGGCTCGCACGCCACGTCCGCCCGCAGGCGCGGGGCAGTCAGATTGAAAACAGATTTAACTTCCCAGATATATCGTTTCATTTAAGGGCCAGTAATTCTGTCAGTCTGCCACTGACAAACGAGGGTCCCCATGCCAATCCGCCGGGAGACTGATGTCGCGGCGCTCATCCCGTGTCACCAGGAGGAGAATTACGGACTGCGCTGGCCTTCGGAGGCAAGACTAATAACGCTGCTGGGCAGAGGGGATTTGGGGGCCCGCCTGCTCATCGAGGGCCGGCCAGAGCCGCGGCGCGAGGCCGCGCGGGCGGAGGGGGAAGAGGTCAGCGCTGACGCCCATAAATACGAACTTTAACTGAGTCTAGATGAGATGTGTCAGGACTGAGGGAAGATTTGCAGCATCTTTTCAGGAAGAAAAATATAGGCCGGGGGTGAAATATATTTTGTTGGGTTGTGAGTCTCAGGCAACTTTGTCCTTTCAGATGTAATTTTTTTATATGTATATGGAGAGACAGACAGAGGGATGTGCACGCACGCAGGCGCTTTTGCACGCTCACATTGTGTCTGGTTTTGGTGAGGTTTATACACATGAGTCTTGCACAGCCTGGTTTATATAGGTGTCGCTGCCATACCAACATATCAATATCGTGAGCACAGGGTTGCAGTGACCTTTAGATTGGGATGAGCAGCCAGGAATGTTAAACAAATTGCCACGGTTCCAGCCCGAAGGCCAGGCTGGGCTGGGTGTGCAGCGGGTCCCTGCAGTGCTGGAGGGGCACAGAGCAGCCACAGGGTGCTGGGATGGTGCCGACCCCTTCCTCAGCCCTTTTGTGCCAAGGGCCTGGGGCAAACCACCCTCCATGCACAGGCAAGCTCCAGGGATGGGGGCATGCTGAGGGCAGCACTGTTCCCACACACCCAGGGGTCCCTGAGGTCACTGGGTCTGTCTGCTGGGCTGCCCTCCCTCAGCTGTGCTCAGAGATCCCGGAGCACCACAAAGCCTATTTGCAGTCAATTGCTCCTCTGCCTTTAACATGTGGGTCATCTTGACCCCATCTCCTGGCCGATGGCCAGAGCGTTTTTGGCAGATTTAAAATCTCCTTCTGGTGGTGGATGCTGCAGCAATGTTTAGCATCCCGTGCACTGGGGGAAATGTGACACTGCCCTGCCTGCAGAGCCCTGGTGCCCGTGCAGCCAGGGCTGCAGCAGCCTGGGAGCCAGCAGGGAGATGGGATCCTGGCCTAGCCACACTGGTGTGGGTGGGTATTTGTTTTAGGATGCACATCGTGGTGGTGTCTGGGCAGGGCACTGGGGACCTGCACTGACCATTAACACCTTGGACGTGTGTGGGTTTGCCTTTGAGGGTGGCTGGTGGACACCAATCCACTTCCACACCTCTCAGCAGCCAAGGTGATGGCTCCTGCTTGCACTCAGGAATTGTTGGGGCTGCCTGGGGTGCTGGCATGTGCCACACACCTGCCAGAGGGCTGTGGGGCAAATCCTGCACCTGGGATCTGGGAGGAGGCGTGGAGGGCATCTGTGTGGTGGGGGCAGGTCAGGGGTATCCGAGTGCTGCTTGGGCCCGTGGCTGGGGACGGATGTCCTGGCACCAGCTCAGGGCTTCCTGCCAGAGCAGGGCTGCTGGTGGGCCACTCCCCTTCCCAAAGCAGCGGTACCCAGGGTGGGGCTGCCCTGAACCAGCCGTGCAGGGAGCACTGAGGGGCTGCACCATCCCTGCCTGGCCTGGGCACACTCTGGGAGCCCCAACACTCCCTCGCTTGTACCTATGAACCCACAGGGAAGGTTGCAGAGGATTTAAAACTACCTCCACATGCAGGTCCTGCATTCCCATTCCTGGGCAGCACCATCCCTGCCTCTGCATGCCCTGCCTCCCCTCCAGCATCATCCCCACAGAGAACTGCATTTTCTGTTGGTAGCAGCCCATCAGGGATTGCTCTTCCAGGGTGGGGAGGGTTTCACCTAGTGTTTTGTGAATGGGTTAAATGCTCACTTCAAAAAAAGATAAGGATTGCCTCTCAAAGACAGCTTGCATCAGGCCTTTGATAAAGCACTCTGAGGAAGAGCCTTGACATGAAAAGGAAGATCCTTTGCTTAACTTTTAACGGGAGCGGGAGCGTGTGTGCGGCCGCTCACCTTGCTGGGAGGATTGATTGCCTCTGAGTGCCCTCCATTAGCAGCCGCTGCTCCTTCAGGCCAGGCCAGGGCGGGGGGCACCGGGGACCCCCAGCCTGAGCCCCTGCAGCAGAGCCCCAGTGCCAGAGCAGGGCCGTGGGGGCTGCCCGCTGCCACCCAGCCTGGGCATGGCACACCCTGCTGGTGCTGGGCACAGCCCCACGGAGCCCAGCCAGCCCTGAGTGGCCCACAGAGCCCCCAGCCCACCCCATCACGGCCCCAGGCACATTCCTCGTGCCATGGCCGTGTGGCTCTGGTGCACTGCGACGTTCCCAGGGAACACCACGGCACGTTGGAGCGTGCTGGCAAAGGGACAGCCCTGCAGCAGCCATGGAGGGTGAAAGGTGCTGCTGAGGGGCTTCAGCCAAACACCCTGCAGAGCTTGGGAGAAGCTGATTAGTAAATTTTAAAGGAAGAAAATAAGATTTCAGAATTATTGAAGTACTTTCTTTGGAAAAGCTAACTTTTTAAAAAGGTTTTCAAGGCAAAACCTTCTGTCTGCCTCTTCTGGAGCTCATCCCGCTCAGGAATGAGGCACAGGAAAGAACTTCCAAAACAACTCCCTGACTGAGCCAGAGCAGAGGCCGAGACCGTGCAGCTGGGCTGGCCCCAGCTCCGTGCTTGGGTTAGCCACAGATCTCTGCTCTGGTTAGCCACAGATCCGTGCTCGGGTTAGCCACAGATCCGTGCTCGGGTTAGCCACAGATCCCTGCTCTGGTTAGCCACAGATCCGTGCTCTGGTTAGCCACAGATCCGTGCTCAGGTTAGCCACAGATCCCTGCTCTGGTTAGCCACAGATCCGTGCTCGGGTTAGCCACAGATCCGTGCTCGGGTTAGCCACAGATCCCTGCTCTGGTTAGCCACAGATCCGTGCTCAGGTTAGCCACAGATCCCTGCTCTGGTTAGCCACAGATCCCTGCTCGGGTTAGCCACAGATCCGTGCTCAGGTTAGCCACAGATCCCTGCTCTGGTTAGCCACAGATCCCTGCTCTGGTTAGCCACAGATCCGTGCTCAGGTTAGCCACAGATCCGTGCTCAGGTTAGCCACAGATCCCTGCTCGGGTTAGCCACAGATCCGTGCTCGGGTTAGCCACAGATCCGTGCTCGGGTTAGCCACAGATCTCTGCTCGGGTTAGCCACAGATCCCTGCTCGGGTTAGCCACAGATCCGTGCTCGGGTTAGCCACAGATCCGTGCTCGGGTTAGCCACAGATCCGTGCTCGGGTTAGCCACAGATCCCTGCTCGGGTTAGCCACAGACCTCTGCTCAGGCTGGCCACTGCCACAGCCAGCCACTCGCCTTCTGGCAGGGGGCACCAGGGGTGCAGAAAGTCTCTATTTTGGTTTACAGCACAATGAGCTTTTCCCCAGGGTTTTGTCGAGCAGCTGCTGCACTGGCTGGGGGACGAGGGGCAGCCCCGCAGGTGGGCAGGAGCGGTGCCACAGCCCTGTCACAGTGCCCACGGCCCCACAGGTGGGCAGGAGCGGCGCCACAGCCCTGTCACAGTGCCCACGGCCCCACAGGTGGGCAGGAGTCACTGCCTTCCCACCCCACCTCTTCCCTGCCCTGCCACACTCCCAGCTCTGGCCACCCACCACCCTCGAGAGACAAATCCCAGCAGCTCGCGGGGAGCGCCGGCTCTGAGACCATAAAGCTCTTTCTCATCTGGCTTCTATTCCTTTTGCAATCTCCCAGCGCGGGTTTATTGCAGCCTCTTCAGCAGAACGAGGGCATTATCCAGCCCTGTGATGCTGCATCTGTCTTCCCTCTATTAACGGGGGAGCACAATGGCCCTGCAGAGCTCGGCTGCTGGCACTGGATTTGCTCCTCAGGGCCGTGGTGGAGGCAGTTCTGTAATCCCAACCCTCTCCCCACACTGGCCCTATGCAGAGGGGAGTCCAGGCAGGGCAGGAGCTCAGCTCTTTGTGGGAAGGAGTTGGGGTTCAGAGGAGAGCAGTGCCGAGGGGATGAAGCCGGTGATCTGTGGTGTTTCTTGGCAGGACAGTGGGGAAGGCAGCGTGATGGCTCTGCAGCTGCTGGCTCTGGTGGCACCCCACCAGTCCCTGCTGCTCCTGCAGTCCCAGTGCCCTGTGAGACCTCTGGGGACCCTTGCAGGCAGTGTCCTGGCTCAGCCCCTCTCGGGGACAGTCCCAGGTGTTTCTCTGGGCACTCACACACAGTGGCACATGTGCAGCAGGGCACGTGGTCACAAGTGCGTGTGTTGGTGCGTGGGCAGGGCCGGGCTGGCAGCTGCAGGGCACAGCGATGTCCCACACCCAGCAGCTCCCCCAGCCTGCCATCCTGGCCAGGACTCAGGATGGGCACTGCCCTCTTTCGTCTTAAAGTATCCAGAGGGGCTCTCTGGACACACAGGCCCTTTGTGCAGCCACCGCGTGCCCCTCCCGCAGTCATTTTGTTAAAATTTGTGTGCAGTTTGAGGAGGTTGTGCCTGCTGGGGGAAGACCCGTGCTGATAAGAGCCAGCCAGTGCCACTGAGACATGTTGAGCTGCTTTGAAGCCAGCTCTGCAAAGCCACCTGCCCGAGGTCCCCCTTTCTGGGGTGCAGCTCCAGCTGTCCATGCTCACCCCAGGGGATGCCCCTCCCATGGGATTCCTGCCAGGCACAGCGTGGGTGCTGTGCCCTGCAGCACGGGGGGTGTCAGCTCCTGCTCTCTTTCAGGTGGGTGACCAGATGAAGCTGCTGCAGAACTGCTGGAGTGAGCTGCTGGTGTTTGACCACATCTACCGGCAGCTGCAGCACGGCAAGGAGCACAGCGTGCTGCTGGTCACTGGCCAGGAGGTGAGGAACGGCCTTGGGAGTGCAGGGGTGCTGTGGAGGGGCAGTGGGGATGGGCAGGGGCTGCAGGGGGGAATGGAGTGACTTCTTTTTTTCTTTCATCCCAGTGTGGCCGACTCGGCATAGGGCAGGCAGGTGGTGTTGTTACACTCTGGGTCTGCTTGTGCAGAAGGTCCCATCCTGTCCCATCCTGTCCCATCCTGCCACACAGCTCCTGGTTCTGGAGAATAACGTTTCTTAAGGAGAGACCAACAGTCCCACCTGTACTGTCAGCAGTGGGATGGGAGGAGGGGCCCCTTCCCTCCCTGGAGGTGGCTTTTGGAGATGTGGTGCCTGCAATTCCAGCACCCTGTTTAAAATGGTGTTCCCATTCCACCCATCAGTCTTTTTGTGACACCCCTACTGCTCAGTCAGCGCTCAGGGCTGATCCAGCTCCTGCCCCGTGTGAGGTGCCCTGCAGCAGGCTGTGGGGGACGGGGGCTGCCACAGCTGATGCCACCCTGTCCCTGTCGCAGGTGGACATGTCGGCCATCGCAGCCCAGGCCGGCTCCATCCTGAACACGCTGGTGCTGCGGGCGCAGGAGCTCGTCCTGCACCTGCACTCGCTCCAGGTGGACCGGCACGAATTCGTCTGCCTCAAGTTCCTCATCCTCTTCAGCCTCGGTGAGTGCAGCAGGGGGCACTGGGGCAGCGCTCCGGGGTCCGGCTGTGCTGCGCACACGGCCCGGGGTCCGGCGGGGTCACAAAGGGGCTTTTAACGAGGAGCCGGGAGCGAGAGCCGGCTCCTGCCTGTCCCCCTCTCCTGTCCCGGGACCCAAAGCCTCTCCCTCCGCGGGGCCGCGCTCTGCTCCAGCTGCAGGGGACGTTGTCACCCCGCCTGTTTTGGTGGCTCTCCCATGGCAGGGGCAGGGAAACAAGCGCTGATACGGCTGCGGAAAACAGGCGTGTTGACAGAGGCGGCCGGGCCGGGCCGGCCCTATCAGCCGGGATTTGCGTCAGAGAGCCGGGCACAGCGCTGGGCTCGGCTCTGATTAGGCTCAGCCTGGAGCCTGCGGTCGGGCACGCCGGCGCGTTCACACCTCCCACCTCAGCCAGACTAAATAACTGCAGAGCCGTGGGCGCTGCTGCCCTGCTGCCACAGCCCGAAACGGGCCCGGCGTGGCGCAGCCCGCTCCTGCCCCTGGCATCCATCCCGGCCTCAGCCAAGCGCTGGTGCTGGCACGGGGAGCTTGGTGGGCTTGGTGGGCATGGTGAGCCCAGCGCCATCCGTGGCAGACCTGTCCCATCCCCATCCCTGTCTCCATCCCTGTCCCATACCTGTCCCATCCCCATCCCTGTCCCCATCCCAGCGCCTTGGCTCTGTGCCTGCGCTTCTGCACCCACGGGGTCCCAGCCAGGGACCAGCGGTGGGAGCTGCGCTGCTGCCCCGTCCTGCACCTGCAGCATCTCCTCCCTCGGCTCTCCTTTCCTCTGGAGCTGCTCCAGCAGTGATAAGGTGTGGCACAAACAGTGCCCGGGCTGGGAAATGAACGAGCCGGGGGGCTCGGACCCCGAGCCAGGACTTGCCCCGGCTGCTGCCCCGCGGGCTCAGCGCCAGCAGGGCCGGGTCCCCCATCTGCTGGGGTGCCCTGTGTGCCCTGGCACAGCACAGCTCAGCACGGCACAGAACAGCACAGCACAGAACAGCACAGCACAGCACAGCACAGCACAGCACAGCACAGCTCAGCACAGCTCAGCACGGCACAGAACAGCACAGCACAGCTCAGCACGGCACAGAACAGCACGGCACAGAACAGCACAGCACAGCACAGAACAGCACAGCACAGCACAGAACAGCACGGCACAGAACAGCACAGCACAGCTCAGCACAGCACAGCACGGCACAGCACAGAACAGCACAGCACGGCACAGCACAGCACAGCACGGCACAGAACAGCACAGCACAGCACGGCACGGCACAGCACAGAACAGCACAGCACGGCACAGCACAGCACAGCACGGCACAGAACAGCACAGCACAGCACGGCACGGCACAGCACAGCACAGCACAGACCAGCACAGCACGGCACAGAACAGCACAGCACAGCACGGCACGGCACAGCACAAAACAGCACGGCACAGCACAGCACAGCACAGAACAGCACAGCACGGCACAGAACAGCACAGCACAGCACAGCACGGCACAGCACGCACAGCACGGCACAGCACAGCACAGCACGGCACAGCACAGAACAGCACAGCACGGCACAGCACAGAACAGCACGGCACAGCACAGCACGGCACAGCACAGAACAGCACAGCACGGCACAGCACAGCACAGCACGGCACAGAACAGCACAGCACAGCACAGAACAGCACAGCACAGCACAGAACAGCACGGCACAGAACAGCACAGCACAGCTCAGCACAGCTCAGCACGGCACAGAACAGCACAGCACAGCTCGGCACAGCTCAGCACAGCACAGCACAGCACAGCACAGCTCAGCACAGCACGGCACAGCACAGCACAGCACGGCACAGCACAGAACAGCACAGCACGGCACAGCACAGCACAGCACGGCACAGCACAAAACAGCACGGCACAGCACAGCACAGCACAGACCAGCACAGCACGGCACAGCACAGCACAGCACAGCACGGCACGGCACAGCACAAAACAGCACGGCACAGCACAGCACAGCACAGAACAGCACAGCACGGCACAGAACAGCACAGCACAGCACGGCACGGCACAGCACAGAACAGCACAGCACGGCACAGAACAGCACAGCACAGCTCAGCACGGCACAGAACAGCACAGCACAGAACAGCACAGCGAGCAGGGGCAGTGTCCCCCCGATGGCTTCCCCCGAGCAGCGGCTTTCAGGGAGGGCGTGGAATCCAATAGCCGTGTTCTCCCTTACATCATTTTGCCCCAAATGCAACTTTTTCTCTCCATATTGCAGAGCTCACTTGGAGTAATTTGCCCTTCGTAGGCTCAGCTGTAGAGGACGGGATTGTGTATTATGTGTAGGATGTAATTGCCTTTAACAAGAGAATTTCCACATTTACCACTCTGCCACAGCACAGTCAAAGCCAAGCCCTGTTCACAAGAGCTGCCATTTGAGTTCTAAATAGATTTCTCTCCTGAGCAGGTAAAGAGATTTAATTAAAATTAGGGCTTCTCAAAATAGCAATATTTATGAGGACGGCACAGGTTAGCTTTGTTCTACAGAAGGGCTTAATAGAGCCTTAATGGATTGACCTATCATTCGATTTCATGACTTACATTCATGAAGCAGCTACTCTTGGGGAGGGGAGGAAGAGAGGCTTTTATAGCCCACATTCCCTTAAGCGTTTGCAATTTATCAGCAGCTTCTCCCAAACAAAAGGAGCTGTGAATAGGAAGAACACTTGAGGGCATAGAAATAATCCCAGGCATATCTGTATGTGTGATGGGAGGCTTTGTCACAGGACAGTCTTTGCAACTGCTGCAGTGTCTCTAAATGAAGTGAGTCAATGTTATTTGGACAACATTCTTTATTCCTTGCAGGAATGAAAAGATTATTCAAATATTCAATTAAACAGTGAATAGGGTCTTTCAGCGAACCAGGTGAGTTCATCGAGTAGAACTAGCTATTGTTGAGCCAACTCAGGGGATAGATTTGACATTTATCAATATAACTTCTTTTTTTTAATGACATGCACAATAACCTTATGCAGATAAAGAGATTTCATAACAACAACCCGGGTAGCAGGAGACAATAGGAGCAAATGTGCTGTCAGAGTGAAAAGGGAAGGGTGATCTGATCCCCTGCATCTTGGCACAACCTGTGCCCTTTGTGCCTGCCCCCGCAGTGCCCGTGCCCGTGGGCACGGCCCGGGGCTGGGGCTCCCCGGGGGCTCCCGGCTTCCATGGCTGGGCTGGGGCTCCGCTCCTGGGGCTCCTCAATGCCCCCGGCCACACCTCTGCTCCCGGCTCTGCTCCCAGCTCTGACCCCTGGCTGTGCTGCAGCAGCCGTGGGTGCCACCGTCCCTTCAAGGGACCCCAAACTCCCAGCTGGGCCAGACCCAGAGCTCAGATTTCCCCGTTTGCAGCCCGTGAGTGGGGATTTGGCACATCGGGTCTGTGTGCAGCACAGCCAGGGGGCTGTGAGCGAGGCAGTGCTCCCGAGTACCTCGTCCTGCACAGTGAATCCACTGAATCCCCTTGGCCTGGATGGACCGTGCCAGGGCTCTGGGGTCTCTGCTGGGCAGGTGTGTGGGACCATGGCTGTGTGCAGCTGCAGGTGGTGATGGGGCAGTGCCCAGCACTGGTTCCTAAAGCCACAGAAATCTGTGTGCAGGGACAATTGACCCTGCCTGCCCCTCGGTGCTGCTGCCTGCCGAGCTGTCACTGCCCTGCCGAGCTGTCACTGCCCTGCCGAGCTGTCACTGCCCTGCTGGCACCAAAGCTGGCAGCAGGATTATGGGAAGCTGCTGTGGCCCTGGCCAGGCGTGGAGGATTAGGGTTTCCAGGCTGGTGAGCCTGGTTGCCGCATTGGAAAGACCAGGTTTATCAGGGAATTAATTCAGCCGCTTCCTCGACCTTCAGGAATTAAAGAGGGCTGATGGCAGCGGCTCCCAATGTGTTGGCACAGCTGGCAGCACCTTCTGGATGTGCAGCTTCCTGGGCAGCGAGGGCAGGGAGACAGCAGCCCTACTGCCAGGGGGTTTGGAATCTGTCTCCAGCATCAGGGAACACCTGGGCAGTGGGGCAGGGATGGAGAGCCCTGGCTGGGTAGGGATGGGGCGTGGGACCCTCCTGCACTGTTTTCACGCAGGGTGTGGGTCCCTCCTGGCACACCCAGCTCGGTGTGGCACAGAGGGGGCAGAGCCGTGAGTTTGGCACCATTTCACACCCACGCTCTCCCCTGCAGACGTGAAGTACCTGGAGAACCACCCGCTGGCCAAGGACGCGCAGGAGAAGGCCAACGCGGCGCTGCTGGAGTACACGGTGTGCCACTACCCGCACTCCGCCGACAAGTTCCGCCAGCTGCTGCTCTGGCTGGCCGAGGTGCGGGCGCTGAGCCTGCAGGCCGAGGAGTACCTGTACCACAAGCACCTCAGCGGGGAGGTGCCCTGCAACAACCTCCTCATCGAGATGCTGCACGCCAAGCGGACTTGAGCGGCCAGGCAGGAGCCGGCAGCACCGCAGTGCCTCCAGCAGGGGCAGGGCAGGGGCAGGGGCAGGGCAGGGGCAGGGGCAGGGGCAGGGGCAGGGGCAGGGGCAGGGCCGGTGCGGGGCTGCAGGAGCCTCCCCCTGCCTGCCCTCCTCAGCCATGCTATGTAACCTCTGCTATTGGAAATGCCCAGCAGGTCCGTGCACAGCAGGGACAGGTGAGGCTGCAGGGCCGTGCCTTGGCACTGCCCCGTTGGCAGCGCTGACCTCAGCTCCACGCACACCTGGTGCCCAAACCTGTCCCCTGCCAGCCCGGCCCAGCAGCACCAAGGAAGGGGAAAGCCTGTCCCGGCTTTTCTCCTGTTTCTGCTCCTCCTGCTGCCCCCACCAGCTGTTCCTTGACTGCCACCATCCCTCCCCGGCCCTGCCCATGTCTCAGGGCCCTCGTGCACAGGGCAGGAGAGAGGGGAGGTGAAGGGGTTTTCTGGTGGCTGAGGTGTCTCCAGGCACCGGGGAACACACAGAGGTGCTGGATTTCTGCAGGAATCCACACAGAATGTGGGGCTGGGCTGGAGATGTCTGTCCCATGCAGCAGTGCCAGGACCCCAAGGTGCAGATGCCGGGTCACAATTGCTGCCAGCTCTGTCCTGAAGCTGCCCTGGCCAGGACAGGGCAGGCAGGGCTGGGCAGTGCTGAACCCTCAGCTGAGGAGCCTTTTCCCAGTGCCTGCTGTGCTGGAGGCAGCAGCTCTGTGCCAGCCGCAGTGCCCAGAGCCCAGAGCTGCCCACGGGCACCACAGCTCAGTCCTGCCCACAGCTGTGGGGGCAGAGATGCCAGGCTGGAGGGAGGTGCAAACTCCAGAATGTGCTCAGGACCTTGGGGACACTTGGGGAGCTCTGCGGTGCCCCCCTGCATTTATGTGCTGAGTGAGTGGGTGAGGAGGAATCAGGATTACTTCATGCTGGGCCTCCTGTGCCCCCTCCTGGCTCTGCCGTGTCCCAGGGGACAGCAAATGCTGTGCCAAAGCCACTGGCAAAGAACTCTCTGTTCCTGCCCCATCGTGGGATTGGGGCTCACAGACAGGACTGGGAGCACTGGGGGTCTCAACCCCCCAAACTGGGCCGTGCTGGACTCTCACTGTTGCTTTCTCTGGGTCTCAGCCCCAGCCCTGGGGCTGGCCCAGCCCCTGCCCCACAGCCCCACAGCCCCCTGCCCTGGGGCCCTGCAGCACGGCTGGGGCTGTCCAGGGCTGCTCCCAGGGCTGTCCTGTGCCCAGGGGCCGCTGCAGCTCTGCAGAGCCGGTGCCTTGAGGAGCCGTCTGTGGAGCTTGTTAGACACAGAAGAAAGAGCATGTTTGTCTCTGCTTTAACACGTTTGTGCATTTTCCTCCTGAAGTCTGTGGTTTGGTTTCACCTTCTTCTTTTTGTGGACTTAACTGGAGAAAATGTTTTGGGAGGTAAAAGAAGTTTTATTTTCAGAAAATGAAAAGTGTCCTTAAGTGTCTCTCTCTGTCTCTTACATCCTTTCCTCCCTCTCATCCCTGCCCTTCCCCACTCCCCCCTTCCTTCCCAGGCAGAAGGTTACCAACTTCCTTGTCAGGAGCAAACCACTGTAATAAATTTTACAATTCATTTAAAATGGCAAAGTTTGTATTTTTTGGCTGTCTTTCTGACCCTTGTGGTTGGTGCTCGGCATGGGGAGGGCTGGGTGTTTGTGGGGGCACTCCTGGGGTGTCACCTTCCTTTGTGGGACTGGGACAGCGTGGTTGGGGCAGGGGCTGCTGCTGCCTTTGCTTCTGGGCACTGGGGACCCCAGACTGGTTCAAAGTGCTCCTGGGAATTGCCACAGTGACTCTTAAGGTGTTTTGCAAGTGAGTGCAGGAACAGCAACATTTGTGGGCAATTAGTGGGCAGCGCCCTGGTCCTTGCACCACGGCCAAACCCCATCTCTGGGCTCAGCCTCTTCCCTTGGACACAGCGCAACAAGGAGAGGAGGTTGTCTTTAAAATCAGCATTTACTGTTGTCATAATCAGCAAAACCCACCACATTTTCTGTGTCCTAAACACTACAGAGGTAATAGGAGGAGAGGGAAGGAAAGCAGTGCCCAGCTGGAGAGGGGCCAGGCCAGCTGGGCAGGAACCCAAGCAGGAGCAGGGAGAGGATTTCTGTCCTAAGCAGCAGAAGATGCTGTAGATGTCAGCTGGTTCAGAAAGGGCTTGGAGCCAGCTGCTGGCTTCCCTAGAGCATGTGCTTCACAGCCAGCCTGTCCCAGCTCAGGGTGCTCCCATCCCCACCACGGGAGCGTGGGCACTGCCTGGGCACGGCTGCCCTGGGCAAAGCTGGGCTGTCCCCATCCCGCTGCTCCAGCTCCCTCAACAGCAGTAATGAGAGCCACAACCCTGCAGTGCCAGCAGGGACAGGGACAGGGACAGGGACAGCAGTGACAGAGCCACAACCCTGCAGTGCCAGCGCTGCCAGCAGGGACAGGGACAGGGACAGGGACAGGGATGGCAGAGCCACAACCCTGCAGTGCCAGTGCTGCCAGCAGGGACAGGGACAGGGATGGCAGAGCCACAACCCTGCAGTGCCAGTGCTGTCAGCAGGGACAGGGACAGGGACAGGGACAGGGACAGGGACAGGGACAGAGACAGGGACAGGGGTGGCAGCGCTGCCCAGGCCAGCCCTGGCTGCCCTGGCAGGGGCTGCAGGAGCCGAGGGGAGCCCAGAACACAAATACCCACCCTGGGGAGGAGCAGGGCAGCCGTCAGCAGCAGACCAAGCCCCATGGGACCCCACACTGCCCTGGTTTGGCACGTGGGGCTGGGAAGGAGCGCAGGGTGGCAGCTCTGCCCGGGCTGGAAGCTCTCCAAGGGAAGCCAGCTCCTCCAGCCTGCCATCCTTCCTGCTGGAGGATCCTCTGCACTGCAGGCCCGTCACCAGAAACTTCTCAGAAACCTAAAGCAAAAGAGAGAAGGTCTCAGCTCTGCTGAGGGCAGGGGTCCCTCCCAGGCCTGGGGGAGAACTGGAGGGACCCCACAGCCCAAACCTGACATAGGGCAGAGCTGTGGGTGCAGCTGGCATGGGTGGGCACAGCCAACCCTGCCTGCCAGTGGTACAGCTCTGCCGCCCCCGAGACCCGCTGTCCCTTTGGGGGTCCTTGTGACAGGGAGCCAGCTCCATGCACCGGGCCATGGCTGTGGGGAAACCCTTCTCCCCTCAGCCTGAGCACAGCACCCAGTGCTGGGAGCACGGGACAACGAGGTTCAAATGGCATTTAGGGACAACACCAGCTCTGCCATGGCAGGAGCCCCAGTGCCCCAGGGGCTGCGTCTCCTCCCCAGGGCATACAAGGGACACCGCAGGACGGGCCCTGGCACCAGGGCTGATCCCACCACGGTCACCCAGCAGGGCTGGCATGGACGGGCTCTGCATTTCTCCCCCTGATACTCAGGGGCTTTTCTGGCTTTGAATCCCAAAGACTCACAGATTCCTCATTATTTCAATCCCAGCTCATGGAACACAATATGGTGAGAGTTGCAGAATTACTCAGTATCGATCAGTGGAAGGCTGGGCTGCGCACACAGGATCCATGTTGCTATGTGTGGCTTAGCAACATATAAATGTATTCAAACAGAATAATGAAATTATCGTGGGGAAACAAAGCAGCCATCACTTGAGGAGATGGAGGATGTGGAGGCCTCTTGGAGCCCTTGTTTGTCAAGACAAGGAAGATGGGACTTATTGTTTGTGCAAATATGTGAACGCCCCAGCCATGCCCTGCTCACAAAATGTGTGTAATGAAGGCAGGCAGGGCTGGCTGCACAGAGCAGCTCCCTACAGCTGCCTGGAGCTCATTACTGCAGAGCTGCTCCTTGGGCTGAGCCCCTGTGGGGGGAGGCCCTGCCTGGCTCTTGCCACAGCCGCGCTGCAAAATTCCCCATTTCCCTGGCTCTGGCCTGGCACTCACCTGGGTTTTATCCACCCTTATCCTCAGCCATCCCACCTGCCCATGGACCCACTGTCTGTCCCTCCACTTGGAGCCCCTGCAACATCCAGAGTTCTCACTGAGGCCCAGGGGCAGAGAGGGGCTGGACCCCACCCCAGACCCAGCACAGCTTTCCTGGGACACACAGGTGGAACAGGGAACAAACACCTTTCCTGTCTCTGCCACAGCTCCTGCTGGCAGCAGCACCATTCCATCAGCTGCCTGGCAGCTTTCAAATAAAGGAATCTGGGGCTAAAGACATCCCTTTTCATTAAACTATTCGGGAGAGAACAAACAGAAGGGGGACAGAGTCTGTGCTGGGATGATCTGTCCCCATCCTGCACCCGAGGGCTCCACAGGGCTTTGCTCTGTGAGCAGAAGGTGAGGCACAGCCTGGCCCAGCCTGGTGTTCCATCGCCCTCTGTGCAGACCTGGGCTTCTAAAAACACACTGAGGGCTCACCTGAGGAAACAAAACCAAACTAAACAACCCACATCTTTGCACAGCTGGAGTTTAATGACACACGTGGGCTATAAGATGTGCAGCAGAAGGTGAGGTTGGGTGGACAGAGCACAAATGCCCGTGGTGGGTGCGGGTCTTGCTGCCTCTGAGACCCCACAGCCCGAAATGCTGCTGCACCAGGTAATATCCCAATAGCTGCACAGCTGCTCCTGGGTGCCACCATTCCTGCCTTTCCCAGCTGTCAGTGTGGGGAGGAAAGCTGCCCTGCTGCTGGGTGGCACCATCTCAAAAACAGCCTGGGGCTGCCCTGCTTAGACACTTCATGTGCAGCAAAATCAGAGACTTGCTAAGGCACCGCTTGCCTTGACAAAAGGAAATGTCACAATGCAGAAGAAACATGGTCACCGCAACCCTGGTGTGTGCTCACTGCACTGTCCACCTGAGGGTCTCCCCCAGGAGCTGCCCTGGGAGTACCCAGCAGTGATTGTTAGAGAAAATAAAGTGAAATATGCTGCATTTGTACTGTGAGGAGCTGGGCACTTGCCCAAAGCCAGGCTGG